TGTCTGTCTTCAACGCAGTACAACCTTATGTGTCTGTCTTCAACGCAGTACAACCTTGTGTCTGTCTTTAACACAGTACAACCTTATGTGTCTGTCTTCCATTTTTTCAGCTTGTTTTCACCATATTGTGTAACATGAATTTGTTCAGAGAGATGTGTTCCAGTATTCACCCGGCGGACTTCAGTACATACAACAGTCTTCCAGTTAACACACAGACGTGATTAACCATTGTGAAGAATTGCTCACTTAGTGTGTAAATATTTGAGTGAAAACAGCATTTATTTAGATTCATTGCTTAATATTTTTGAAACTATGTTAAGTTAATCCAGTTTTTAAGCTTTGGCATCTGTTTCATCATACAATTTTACAAATACTATATTGTGGAGACTACAGAGGGATCAGTCTTCTATTGGTAAAAGGTTTCAGAATTATTCTTAACATTGACAAATCAGTGGCACACGTAGGCGCTAGTCAATGATACGCTGATCAGCACAACATGACCCTGTATTAATCCGAAAAAATGTACTTTTATTTAAAACATGTCTTTATCTCAATACAGTTTATACCAGAAGACAAGACGACACGGAAATATTGTCAGATCTGAACTTTGACTTTGTCAATCTGGTAACGATAATGAACGTAAGTTTAATGTTATTCTACTCTGCCATATTGATGATGTACTAGACAGAATGCATTAATCATATCCTTCACAAAATTGTTGGTTTTTGAATTAGCACTTCTTTTTGAGTACAACAAATGCTACATAACTAAATATGTAAAGTAGGTATACATCATGCTACAGTAACAGTTTGAGGAAATCATATAGATATAAACTGTTAGGTTTCAGGTTTCGCTCACTATGTGATCTGCCCTGAAAACTATATTGTGTACTAGTGAATTTTATATACGGATGAGTTTTAAAACGTCAGAGGATAAAAATGAATTAGTTGAAAACCAGTATTGCGATGATCTAAACATTCCAGACGATGAGGAATGACTGTAAAATGATAAATTGAAATAAGACAACTTCTATGGAAACAATGGTTTTTTTTAACTTAAATATATTGATTGAATGTTATAAAATTCATGCTGAAAAATTAAGAGTTTTTCAAAAAGAAATTAACACAGGCGAAAATGCATTGTTTAATTCAACTTGAAACCCACTATTTTCGAAAATATTATTATCAAAGATTGCCTTTGTATGTTTATATGTTTATCGTGCTTCTTTTAGATTGCAAATGTAGTAACATAAATCATTTTCGAAATATAACAAATACTCCTCTTTATAAATAGCTACATTTGTACACTACATGTATAAATCGCTGCAGTATTAAATATCTACTCTCTATATTTTATATACAAATGTAGCTAGAGTATATATAGTACGTGTATTTGAGGAGCTCTCAGTGTGGGTTGAAATGTGGTGGCCAAAGACGAAACGGACAAAAGAAAGACACCAATGTGATAGAAAGAACGGATAATACTGAATTTAATGACAAAAATACACCGTGGTTTTTGGTATTAACTGTAAATGACGTTGTTGACCTCTTGCGCGAAAACCTACAAATAAATAAACAGTATAAATGATCTAAAACCAAGTCCTTCATACATGTTTGATATCAGTTTCAAATGAATATGACATAAAACCAATCCCGAATGCAACATTTATAAAATTATATTATATATAAAATGATTATTATAACTGAAAACAAACCCATAGGTAAGTTCAATCTAAATCTTTTTTCAACCAAAATATTATCTAATATTTGTGATTTCCTTTAGCAGACGTTATCAATTGGTTTACCTATGTACAAATATGTTTGACGTGTTGTTTAGCCGGTGTTGCTGCCTAGGAGAGCCAGTAACAGGACACCGCCTGAAACATAATTGCAAAATGTTATGTTATTTCGAAATGGACGTTGACGTGTAAAAACACCAGTTGTACAATTTATAGTTTGAAATTTAAAAAATGTATTAATTTATTTCAAAATGAAATAAAAGCTATGGAAGAATTATTGGCTGTCGTTGGGAGAAAATGTGGTTTCGTATTTTACATTGTTAAATTAGTTGGTATGCAGGGTTAATATTTTGATCGATTCGCTAAATAACTGATAGTATATGTCGTTTGAGTTAGCAAAATATAACCATAGAATTGTGAGACCTTACCTGCCAAAAGGTACAATATATTGTTGTCACCATATCCGCCGAGTCCTCCGCCTAATCCTCCGCCAGCTCCGAACCCCCCAGCTAGAGCTCCTATCGGAATATCGCCTGGTTCTGGAGTCGCAACAGGATAAAGTATAGTTGGGTAACCACCTCCATATCCACCACTATTATATCCGCCCCCTTTACCCCCGTTGCCATAATAACCTCCGTACCCTTGTCCATAGCCGCCATAGCCACTGCCATAGCCATTACCGCCGCCATAGCTACCATAGCCGCCGCCATAGCTACCATAGCCGCCGCCGTATCCAACCATACCTCCTTGTCCGTAACCGTACCTTGGCATACAGCACAGAAACAGTTTAAAGTGGTCTAGCAGGTTAGTGTGTTAATGATTGTATCAAAACTAATTAAAGATTGTTCCGATGATCAAACAAGTAATATGTCTAACGTGGTGTTAGGAATACAGGATATCCTTTATCGAATGTTTACGAATAAGATTATTATCACATGAAGATATTTCGACAGTTTTAATTTGATATTATACTGCCTATTATTGAAACATTGCTATATAACATAAACCCACGCTGGTTTACATTGGCAGAACACAACAGATCCAAGCTCGATTTGTAATGTGTGATATCTATCATTATTATCACAATAGTGTGACGTCACAAATCTAAGTTCCCAAGTTAGAAATAAAGAATATCTATACAATTGTGTATGCTTTCGTCATGATAAAAATAATCTCAAACTCGTTTCGAGTACAACTGATTGTATTTAATCATATCAAAGTATACGAAATGGTCTGTACTATATTTCGCACTGTTCGCACTGTTCTTCCAGTCGTTGTAACTCTTTGACTTGTGAGACTGTCCTATATCTTGTTGTCATCGGTACTTGATGGTAGGCGCATATTTGTTGGTGACACGTTTTTATAGTTAAAAGTTCACAATAACGCTTTTAGTGTGTTGATTGATAAATCAATGTTCTGTACAATTAAAATTCATGATAAACAGTTGCAGACGTGTAGAGGTAGCGAAACAAATTCACTAACCCGCTACCAGCAACATTAACTGCGGATTAACACGTGACCTTAACATTCATTTTCTCCAAGGTTAGACTGTTTAGGATAGCAAATAAGTAATTTACTACCCTTCCATTGTCCGTTTCTAGCCACTATGCACACTATGGTGAAGTCTCTGAAGTTCTATTTGAATGCGGTTCGGACATACTCGTCTCATACTTCTCCATGGGTAGCTAAACCGGTTCTCTAACCCCCAACTCTAATCAGTGATTTATAGAATATTCATAACTTCCTTAATGCCGGTTATCATAAGATCCATTAAGATTATATGTAATCATATGAAATATGTAACCATATGTAATCATGTGATAGTATTTTTTATAATGGTGACTCATATGAGATTCTCTATTTAAGTGTTATGTCTTAATTGATGTTCTTTAGTACCCTACTTCAGTCCTGTATACGTACATGTTTTGGCCCCCGTAGCCGTAACCATCACCCATGACTGCCACGGAGAGGCAGGCCAGTGAGGCGAGTACCACACAAGCGAACCTCATTATGAAACTGTAAAAAAAAGGTATTGAAAGTGCAAGTTCAACCTATTCCTTAGTACAGGGAATCTACAGCTGCAACAGTGAAATCAAAGCTGTATAGGATATAGGCAATAATGCATACATGTGTTCATCTGACGGGTCAGATTGAAGGTTGCATTTTGCGTATGAATATATTTCATGAGGGTTGTAGTCCGATTGAAATACATTCATTTACGCAATACATAGTTGCAATCTGAGACGTAAGATGAGCATAAACATAGGGTATATCTTTTACGACAGATGTGCAGCTGTTCTTTCTATGCTTGTAATATTTTTCTGTAAAATAGTATTCGTCATTACTCTTGATTATTTCTCAATTTGCCTTTCGAAAAAAATGGACAAAATGACATCTTAGATTGAAAATGCCTTCACGTTATCTTAGCTTCAAATTGCGTTTAAATATAAGAATCCCGTTATTTTTCAATAAATTGATTTGAAAGAAGATGAGTTCAAGAATAATTTGGCCTACTCGCATAACACAACATCTAGTATAACCACAGTGTGAAATACAGGACGGTGTATCGCATGGCCTATACACAGGTCAGATTCACCAGGAAGGTAAATTAACTTTTTCTTATATGTTTAAAGATAATCTTTGATGCTAGTTTCGGTCAAACAGACACATTATCTTTGTGTTTTTACAATAAGTTGTAGTTTGTACTTTATCAAAACAACTATATTGATATCGTATGCTTAAGTTAAAATGAAGCAATATCAGTTAAAAAAAAAACTTATTATAAACTCGTTTGTTTTCTTTGTGCAATTGATATACTTTCATTTTCTATGCCTGCGTATACAGAAATAAGATATTGTTTTAGCTTAATTTAATACAACATACCTGTGATCCTTTGGTGGAAGAGGACTGACAAGGATACTCTGTTCTCCGCTAGAACTGATGGTTTTATATGCCTCCCCTAAAGGATGCAGCGAAGTAGGTCAACCAGTTTCCTGTTATTTTGATGCGGAGCGATTCCGGTCTCAGCTAATCCATCATTTCACTGACCAATCACTCTTGGATGACAAGGTCGTTTATCGGGTCGTGAGTGCGAGCACGTGCCAAATTTTAAAGTGATCTTTATATTTGTTAGATTCTCAAATCGATAGAATTAGTATTAATCAATAAAAGTTTGTTTGCGCATATCCCAACCGCTGGATATACAATATTACTTGTTTTATTTGAAATTTGGCAATAACAAATATTTCGTGTAATAAAGCATTTGAGGTTAAAAGACGTTGGTCTTAATTTGCATTTGGCAAATAATGCTTGATATTTCATAGAAAGTCTACATTCTAAAAACTGAGTCAAGCCATGCATTAGCAGAGGATACTTCTTTGAAACATGTTGTCAATATATATTTTCTATCCAAAAAAAATTGATTCGAATGTCAAATCAGGATTCATTTTTACGAAACAATACACGTTCCTGGCTGCAATGCGGTGAGATTTTTGTTTTTGGTTGAATGGGAATTTTAACAGAAATCAATACGGTTGTGTGGCAACGTGTTTATTATATCAAATATCGTAAAACTGACGTCCGCATGAACACACTACGCGAGTTTCATATATAACGAAATAATGAAAACAAAACACAAGGTATCACTCACACAACATAGATTTGACATTTTTCTGTTGATCTGAATATTTCAATATTAATTAACCAGCACTTTTTAAAACCACTTAAAACGTAATTGTGGAGGCGGATATAATCAAAATTCTTTTCACTGGAAACGAAATGCTTTAAAATTCAAACAAAATTAGCGAACTTTCAAAATTACGTATGCTATTAATTAGATAAACACATTACACAGTGTCAAAACATAGGAATAAATCTTAATTCAAAGGCGATAAGAAATGACAAAAAACTATAGTGAAAACACCAAAACAGAAGGAATGCAACAACCAAGAATGAATAAGCAAATATTTACAGACAAGGACACCAAACAATGGTTAGTTTGGCCTGGAAGGAACGATAAACCTTTCATGCAGCCTTTGAATCTTTATGTGTCCTGTCAAAATTAATAGCAGTCACCAATGGTCTTAGACAAAGAAACATGTCGATACTCATCACAGATACTAAACTATACAGCAGAAATTATGTCTTTATGACAACCGTCTACTGATCCCTCTCCAATACTTTCATTATCATTACATCATAATGTCAGCAAAGACAAGCTCATTTTGGACAAGGTATTGAAGACAATCAAGGAACAAAATAAGGATAAGAGAGAGGACCTTTTAGCTAAGATTTGCATAAATGCATTGATGATTGATCTTGAATTTCATATGCGTTCCAACGTTTTCGTGTCATATCGGCAGACTTTCGCCGAATGAAAGGTTCCTTTGTTAAGCGAAAGATGTGGCTTGTGTTAAATCACCACCAATAGGTCGGTAGCGGCACTACTGACGTACCAACATCATCAATCTAGTAAGCATGTTTCTTATTTCTATGTTTAATTACAACTGCTCTTAAGTCTTCCACTTGTTCATGTATTTACTGGTTTTCCGATACTTTAATATCTTTAACACCAGCTTCGCGATCGAGACTTTTGTGACTGAAACATGGCATGTTCGATACACTTTACGTGACATGAGATGTACTTAATAACAGAATCTTCGGATTTCACTGGAAATAAAGAAGCTTTGCACGATCTTCAATATGACATACATGATTAAGAATATGATAGAACATATGTGTTATTTTCAAAAAGAAGTATTAAGACAAATCCAAATATCACAAGAATTGCTATAAATGTACAGATGCGGAAATAATCAACGACAGCGCCCCAAACCATTTTACATGTATTAATTAAATACCCTGATGCATATTGATTGGTTTAAAAAGATAAAAGTTACTAAAGACACTCTGTCTTCCAGTCTATCAATAAGCCCCGCCCCCTAACACGCACGGTTTTCTTGTTCCATGTTAGCCAAAGATAGGTCAAGAGTTTAAGTAACCATTTGAAGAGTCGAATGATGGCCGTATGACGGATGAGCAAGATGACTGCCTCAGGGTGGATGATAAGTCAGGAGGAAGTTGATTAAATTTAATCCTACCTAGACTCGTCTATAAGGTCAGGGTATAAAACGTACGACCTCCCGATCCAGTAAACCAGAATCCCTGAACAGGACGGGATCCTCATATACATCTCAGGGTCCTGTAGATTAGGGGTAAGTAAATCGACCATTCAGATAGAACATTGTCAGCTTCCAGAAGACTCACACAAGTAGGCTTTGTCGTCAGATTGGCTTATTCATATGCAAACTAGGTTCTGTATCAAAGCTGTTTTTGAAGCGTATTGTTTGGAACATAATGTAAAGATGGGAAATTCATCATAAATCCTCTTACATGTAACTACAAATTTGGTTTGAAAAAGTGAATTGAGACAATTAGCTTGATTAGGAGAAAGAGTATTTTATTAACCGATGTACTCATCTAAATGGTGATGATGACGACAGCAAATTAAGAAAACATTACCTAAAGATGCCAAATTAGTAAAAAAAAAAAAAAGTATTCTATTAGAACTTAGATATTAAATTTTCAACTTTTTATCACTTTTCAGGTCGCGAGATGCGTTTGCTACTGATAGCAATCGCCTCCGGGGCAGTCCTCGTTGGCTTGTTCTCAGCTGTCCATTGTGACGGTGGATACGGCGGATACAATAACTATGGCAATTACGGAGGATACGACAATGGATATGGATATGGCGATCAAGGATACGGCGGAATGTACGTTGGTTCTGGATACGGGGGTTATGGAGGACAAGGTGGATACGGCGGAAATGGATACGGGGGATACGGCGGAAAAGGTGGATACGGGGGAAATGGTGGAGGAGGCGGAGGAGGATATTTTGACAGCAGAATGGCCCTATCCGTGCCGTACGGTATAAGCGTTCCACCAATCGCTCCTCCCGTCGGCTTTGACCAAAGCGGACTGTATGGCGGTAACAATAACTCTATCTGGACTGTCGGTACGTATTGTCATTTGATATTCCATTTCTAAAGTAAACTCTCTCTAAAAAAAATCACTATTCTTACATCGCCGTAAAAAATATAAATATAAAATAAAATGATATTGAAATAATCAAAGTTTTTTTTTGATTTGATGCATATGATATGTGCATATTTTTTAACTCGGGGAGGTGAAAATAAAAAAAAGTGTTTATTTCATACAATGCATTCTTAATCAAGTAAAATTTCTCTGACACCACCAGAGATGATAAGATACATGGGTTGCAATGTTGTTCACAACAAAATACTTGGTTCTCCATACAGTCGGGATCGGATTCCTGTTTTGGCTGTTGGCCAGCGGTGCGAGTAGCAGAACCGGTTAGACATGGAATAAAACTACAATACCTCTGTATATATGTAAGTATCAGAGTCATATGTAAGCATAATGTTATATATATATAATTACTATTATCCATTCATGTATATCAATATTTAAGCATGTGCATATTATTTTTTCAAAGACTAAGTATACGTGTAAATTTTAACACTTAATTCCATGTTTAATATTTAAAGTAAAAACTGCAAAAGTCGGCTTATAGCCATGTTTTTATACACACAACTTTTTATTTGTATCACACAACATGGTACCTGTTTTAATCGTAAAAAAACAATTAAAGATTGGCTTTGGAAAATTCGTTCTGTGACATAAACTAGAATACAAATATGAACTCATTTCGATATTATTTTTCCAGCTTTAAGCGCAAGAGGACCAAGCCGTCATGTGTGTCACCAAATGCCCCATTTTATATTTTTGTGATGTTATGTGTTTTTTGAAATAAACTATTTAAGTTATTATACATATCTGTGTTTTTTATTCTTATAATCTTTTCGAATCGTTTTGCTGCTGATTGATTTTGTGTTATTCCTCTCAAATTTATTTCCCTGATATAGTTCTTACTTTAAAAATCATACACAAGAAACAAACAGGGAGATATACCAGGATTATTATATTATGTTACCTGACTTCGTAGGGCGATTCCTAACATCATCTTTGACGTTATTCAAGATAAAAAAACAGGCAGAACCTTTAGTTTTTTAACCTTCTGTACACTGTACTACACATACTGACCTTGCACAGGTGACAAAGATATGAACAGTATCGGGTAAATATGCAAGACCACACGCTTGTGTTTTTCTAACGAATCAAAAAGCACGAGTTTATTGCGCGGACGAATAAATAAGTGCTTTCTGATTCGTTAAAAAAACACAAGTGTGTGGTCTTGCTTTTATCACATACCTTCCGTATTCGGTAGAGATCGATACAAAGATTTCATAAACTTTGATATTTTTTGCAAATACCGGGAACTTTTCAGTTCGCCATGACAAGGGGATTCCCATTAAAAGTAGTTCCAGCTAGTAGGTAAATACAACATTCCGCATTGCACATGTGCAATACAGAACGCTGTATTTCATAGTCTGAAATACACATTGCTAGGTTTTGAATGATAAATGTGTCTTCAAACTGAATACTTTCTCCATGATACATCTTACCAGAGGATTTGAAAGCATTTTACTGGATATTAAAGAACAATCCTAGTATAGGATCACTTTTATCTAAACTAGTATTTGTGTATTGCTAGGTAAATATGTATCGTAGAATAAAATGGAAACAATCTTAAAAGTAACGAACAACTTGAAAATAATATTGACACTCATGGCCATTTATAAACATCAAGTACTGTCCAAGTAGAAACTCCTCAAAATGCATTGCTTTTGTAGTTCTCCTAATTGTTTTTGAGAATACAAGATATATTGATATACTCAAAAGTTTCAAACCAGAACTTTAGACTTATGTTGTCATTATGATTGAAGTCGAGATTTGATAACATGTGTATGAATGAAATACACACGAAGAAATTGCATCTTTAAAATTAAGTAAGAGATGATAGTTTGCAAAAATGGATCATGTACACTTCACCATACAACTGTTTTGTCCTTCAGTGGATTAACGGAGCTGTTACGGACCAAAAATATGAAAATCCAAATAGGTGTAAATTAATTATGTAACAAATGGGGAAGTGCGAGAAATCTTTTGACTAAAAAGTATTTCAAAACATAAAAAGTACACGTACAATAACGATGTATTTTTACCAGGAAATGTTCGACGCAGTATAAGCTCCGTCTTTTTTCGACCTCCGTAGCCAGGGCGAATTAAATCATTACACCAATAATTAATAAACAACATTATATACATATTAGTTAAATGTGAAGGGCGAATATGTATTTTACGGAGAAGGGCGAAAGGTTGACTGGGCAAAATTTTCCTGGTATACAGCATATCTAAAACGAATGCAAGTATAACCATCTATTTAAATGGCGGCATGTTATATGTAAATACCCTTATTGACAACCATGTAAACATAATCAATTAAAGACGAAACATACATGCATTAACCCCCACGAATACAGGAGTTGAATTGCGATACGTTGGACGTGTCTTAGTGTTCATATGTAACCACCGGCGCGCTTTTATCTATGTTCACCTCTTTCACTAGCTATCTGACGATAACCAGTTCATAAGTTAAAATTATCGAAGATACTTTGATAACTTGAAATATTTTAATGGTTACGAATGCAACATTTAACTATATGAATATATCTTGCTTGAGTTATTTTTGAAGTAAATGTTGAACTACTTTCAATTTAAAACCAAACGATAATTTGCTATAATTAAATTACATAAAAGGAAACATCTTTAACTTCTCTCTGATAATTAAATAAACATATATTTAATTTAAAGAAATATCTCTCACCAAAATATCAACAAAACTGGAACTGGAACTCAAAAGTGATAAAACTAGGGCAATATAAACAAAGGAGTATGGTAAGATTGATATGGAGACCCTTCAACAAGTACAAGGAATACAAGACCAGGTGTTCCAGGGTGGTAAGCGTATCATGCTTCATCGACGACACACACCATGAAAAGATAGGTGAAATCCGAGTGGTGTCACGTCCTCGAAAGAGAAGTAGGGAAGCGACAACGACACAACAAGACACACCATTAACCATAAAAAGCATCGACCTTCATATCTACAAAGATATGTCATATATGTGTATTTCCGAATGAGATAATGATGGCGACAGTAAACAAATTCATAGTCTTCAACAACCTGCATCTTTCTGAACCCTGTGTTGTAGGTTTGTCCGTAAGCAGTCGATATATATCAAGACAATCATGATATTCCTATGAAGCTCTTAAATACAGAAAACACGGTTATTGTTTTATTTTCCTTGTACATGTATTTTCAGTTCCTTTTCACATAATGTAAGGCTTTAAAAAAAGATAAGTCAGTAGAATGTTTTTCATAAAGCATGATAAATAAATACATACATTTGTAAATAAAAAATTATAAATAAATAAGAAAATAAAATAAAACTATCGGACGAAATCACCACTAGACTCTTTAAGATCCCTCCTACAAGACATAAAAAACATATTTAACATTTTTGCCAGAAATTTAAGTCTCTGGTAGGAGAACGTAGATAGCTTGTGTTCCGACTTAATACAAGAGTAGCTAAACAAATCTCATTTTTTTCCAAACCGAATGTATATGCAAATTATCTTATAATGTATATGCAGTTTTCTTTATAAAGATTTGTAAATATATTTTTAAAATGCTAATTATTTATATTATAGCATAAATAATAGTGACTTCAGTTTGGGGTAAGATAGTGAGGTAAAAATACTGTTGACATTTCCTTTAAGAAGAGGCCAAAGGAAAAGTTCTCACTCAAATATCATCAAAGAATGTGAACTCTTGTGTAGCATTGATTTGGAAGTTAAAAGCTGTATTCGAATGAGCTTTTAAATGAATTTGCATTTGACGGGTATATGTTATATTTTGAAATCGGTTCCAAATTCGTCTATTTGATGCGACCAATCAGAACTCAGGTTAGCTATTTTGATTTTAAATTGACCCATTAAGTAAAGGCCGTTGTAGGACCTAGCATAGAGTTTTAGATAAATGTTCTTTGTCGTTTTACAATTTTTTATAACCTGTGGAAAATCAGTAACAAAAACAAGAAAAGCCTACTTCAGGATAAAATACAATTGGTGCTTCGATAAGAAGATATCACCTATATTCCGGGCGCCTGTAGTAATGTACTTGTGTTTATCACACTGTGTTTTTGTCATTGGATTGTGTACAGGTATACTGTGTCAGATATTCCGTCTTTTCGTACAGAGTTGTCTGCTCTTGTGAGCAGGTATTGATTGTTACGTCATTAGTTTGTGTGAGAAAATTACATCGTTTTCTCAAACATTTATGACGTTACTCTCACAAACAAATGACGTGACAATCAATACCTACTCACAAGAGCAGATATCTCGGCAATACGAAAAGACGTAATACGATAGAAATACAAACTGTATGCATGTTAGATACGACGCCATTCAAGTGCAAAGTAAAGATAATAAACAGCTAGTTTGATATAATAATCCTCAGACGGAAAGACATTTAGAGCAATAAGTTAAAGTCTTTCGAAATGTTAAATTCACAAAACAATTTGGAATATATATATTTTTTAAGAAGATGATGATTTGGGACTCAAAAATGGACACTACCATAAACTGCATTGACATAGAGCATATCTTTACTAAAAAGCAACTATGCATTCAATGATGTGCATTCGCCAAATTACTTGCAGTGATAACAGCTACAAATCGTTGTATTGTATGTCTGTAAAGGCGTCATACACTATCATGTTGTTTTATGTATAAATAAAACCTCGTGCGCTCATAATATCCATAGTGAGGATAATGAGATGGTGTACTTAGAAATAATATGCTTGTGGTCTGTATCAGGAAAATAATATAGACACGATTTTAATATGCGATGAATAGTATCACAATGTAACCGATTACCCGCGGATTGTGCGCGTTAATCTAGATCGCTATACTGACCATTATAGCATAATGTCCACAGAGGCGACAACAGACGTACATATCCGAATCGTGATTGCCAGAGGGAACGACTACCTTCCTGGTACAAAAATGCGCGGACCACCTGCCTTATACATGTTGATCAAACGGTTTGATGCCTCTGGCTTCGCATGCCTCTTGGGTGGGTTACTAATTAAAAAGAAACCATTTACAAATTGAATTTGACTTATCTATTCCCTCTTGTATACATTCATCGATAATTTTTCTGAATGTCTAATTTTATTTACATCAATTGTTTATTCTTAAAAGTGAAAATGATAGTATTTTTTGTAGTTTGGTCACGGGATCACAAATCCTTAGAATGCCACATTACTATACAATTTATGCCATTCGAGCATGACCTTCTATTGGAAAATGCACCTGATATTAAACTTAGATATTTTTAACCGAATTTCTCTCTTCCTCAAACCTTTCTTTGATTCAGCTATATCGACCCAACAATTGGTAGTGGAATAAAGCTTTGCTATCTTTACTTTTACTTCGTTTGAAAACTGCAATTTCTTGATTACTACTACTCCTTTATTTAGAAGCAAAGGCAAAATCTTACTATATCAAATTAATTGTTGAGGCAAGTGCATAATCTGCATATTCGATAATCTTTTGTTGTTTTTTTAATTCTTGAAACCGTTTTAAAATTAGCACTTGATTAAAAATGATAAAGCTATAACGATTAAAATGACAAAACATAGCTTAATCAATATATATACACTTATACATCATCTCAACTGATATCAACTGAATTTGCTATCAATTTATGCTTGTTGTAGCTTTTCCTACCTGTACCCTTTACAAATCCTAACAGTTGATAACGCTAAGCAAATCGATTACTGTGTTTTTTTCGAGAAAAGAATCTTTTCAAGATGTTAATTTTTGGAATTATTTTTAATTTAAAAATCAAACTTAAAATATTAGACATGATATCACAATGAGATATTAACATAATGTTGTTACAGGGCTTGCATGTTAAGCTTAATAATTCATTATAAAATTGTATATCTCAATTGACCTCATGCGTCATTGTTGAATATTCATGTTAATATGCATTTGTGGTTGATATATATTAACAGTTCATCTCTATGCATGGCCTTATTTCCGAATGGTTATGTATATATCTTTATTCGTGTGATTCATTTGGTAGTGTTACGTTATACAACAGTATGCTAGTGCTGCAAGTGATCGTAAATGACTGCAACATGGTACATTTATGCACAAAATTCATGTAAATTGTGTCAAAACAAAAGCAACTAGCTCAATTTCTTTTTGATAAACACAATACAATTTATGTCGCAAATAATGCCATAAGTCAAATGATAATTTTATTGTAATGTCGGTATTTATCTTTAAAGTTTCAACATCACAGTTCATCAAATGCTATACCGTAGTAAATGTAGTAGAAGTACTCGGGGTCTGAAATACAAGGGAAAATAACATTAATGTATCAAGCTATAAGAAAGCGAAAGCCTCACTTATTTCCTATTATTAGTAAAAGATTTTGCACTTCATTTATTTAGAGAAAACACTGGAACAATTCAGTTTATTTTTTATGATATTTTTGATCATTTCTAAGCATGTTTCATCATTGCAGTAATCAATTATAGAATCGATTTCGCTACGTGACAAGTGTGTTTTATACATTTGGAATATATCAAAGAACATATCATATAGAGTAAAATAATAATTGAGATTTGGAACAAAATCTAGCAAGTACCGACGATTCATCCGCTATTACGGAGTTTTGCAATTTTATAAGTTAAGTCAGGAAAAGTGTAAACAGTATTGGTACTCTTCGATTTAAGGATTGAAATACATTCGGTATAGAGTGATCGTCCTATCATTTTGAAGAGAATAAAAAAGACAAATTGAATAACTTGTGACAAAGCGGATGGTTAACTATTTATAGTCTTGAAGTCATGATACCACTTTTATAAAATACTTAAAAACGTACAAATGATTGCACTTTTTCCTGACGAGAAACGTTCTCAAGTTATAAATCAATGCGTTTTATAAAAATAGATTTTTCCGCTGTTCATTGATTGTTCTTCGAAAAGCATCATACATCTAAAAGCAATTAAGATAGTTATGTGTATTTGTCTTCTTTCTCTTATTCATTATATACTTCCAAAAGAATACACACAAAGTAAATAATCAGATCAATTATTCAACAAATTGCCAATTCGTTACTAAGTAGGATAAACACGTTTCTTTAACAATTCACACATTAATTCACAAATCAGAACCAAAAAGTGGTTAAACTTTTAGTACGTTAACATTTTTAAAAAAACATGTTCTATTTGGTAATGTACAAAACCTGGTGATTAATTAAAATATCATTATTATGGACATAGTTGATTAAGACAGTATTAATCCACTGGAGCTACCAACACAAGAGAAGTCACGCTCTAGTTACAAAACGTCCACTGACAAACCAACTCTCAAACTAATATTTTTATAAATTTATGAAAAAGCGAAAAAAAATAAAACAAGTGTCCTATGATGATTAATAACATAGCTACGTACTGTTACGTGCATATAAATAATAGATATTTTGTGGGAGAAAAAACATGTCAACACAACATACTAGGAGGTTTTGATGGGAGAATAGTATCTGAATGATCTGATTTTGTTCATCCAGCCATGGAAGGCTATTTATAATATATATGATTAAATCGGCATTTTGTGTAATTGATTTTTTTTTTATCGAAAGTAATGTTCTTTTTTTTTTTTTTAATTTGTGAAGCTAAGATATACCTGTATAGATGGATTTAGCACTAACACTGCAGATACATACACGAATAAGTAATAAACACTAACCGGAGCTGTACGGACATCAATAATCCAGACCATCCTCAGTCTACCCGCTATTGAATTGAGACAACAGAAGGAGGAGAGGCACCAACAATATTACTGAAACAAAATATAAAGATACCAATGACATATTAGGTAAATACAAGTGTTATAAGATGGCATTGTAGGAGCACATACAAGCACCTAACAATGTACCATTGATTGTGAAGATTGTATACAAAAAAAAGCGCAGTGGAGGTGCTTATATATCGTGCTATCAAGCTGTAATTATAAAGTGATGAACATGTTCATGTTATATTCTAGTGAGAATAAAGGAGTGTTGTCATGTATTCGTAGTTGCAGCTAAAATGGTTAATATCATAATGGTTGTATATGGTATTATAAAATAATAACTATAAAAGTGTGATACAATGTTGTGTACTGAGCTAAACTCGTGTAACTGGAGTTTATAATTAAAAATTAAGACCAAAGGAAAAAATAGAGATAGTACATGCAAATCAATTTGATTGCGAGTTTGCGGATATGTACAAATGCGCAAAAGGAATAACAATGATCGATGGGAACGAGTTGGTGCACGCCTATCGACTGATATTGCGTAAAAACGGGGTCAGATATTTTATCAATATTTGTTTCCTCTAGTTAGTCTTATAGTTTTCAGTGTATCAGTGGGTTTATAATGCATTGAAAATATTCAAAGGAAGTAATCAATAGGTAATTCCACGTGTATCCAATACCTTTCGAATAGTTATAGACACAATGAAATTTGTGCCTGATTATTGTAACATCATAACAATGACGCTACGCTTAGGCTGATATAGGGCGGTTCTGTTAAAATTGAATAAGTTGTGAAATATGTTTATAACTTAATCGGTGATAAACATAAAACATTCATGTATTTATCAATAATAAACCAAAATAAGTCTGTGTTATCCGTGGTTAAAAAAATACATGCAAATGGTCTTGAGTAGTCAATAAAATGCAGGTTTGCCTGACTTCATCAGCAGATGTTACAATTTAATAATATGTTCGGACTAAAGCATCTTTGAGTGCAGGCAGAGAGTAAAAATAACAACATGAAAAGAAAGATGTTTTGGACAAGCAAGTGAAGCTTTATTCAAACACGCACAAGTTTTCAATATATGTGATATTACTGGACTCCTATACTTACTGACAACATTCCTGCCGTTCCCGCAGTTCACATCCAATAAACCACAGTTCGTGTACCCAAGATCGATTGGATACGGGGCGGAATATGGAGAATAAAAACTTTGGCTGTTCACGGATTCCACCGAATATCCCGAATAGGATTGTTTCCCGTATCCATGGTTTCCGTATCCTGAGTAGCCATAGTCAGCAAAGGCAAGCGTCGCACACAGTACAACTGCTAGTGATGTCAGCGCTAAATGGACCATGATGTGACTGTAACTTGCACAAAAGAAAACAAGTGAGAGCCGTCTTCCAGAAAAGCATTTACGGGAGTATGTACTTTCGTCACCATTATGCCCCCATTACAATTAACATAAACATAGATCATGGAATTCACTGAAAGAGTAGCTGTATATTACCTAGGTTGTTGTCCTTCGTGTTGTTTTTATTCGGTAGTATATTTTGGTTATATAACCTAAAAAGATAAGCAAAGAATTAAGTTTGCTTAGGAGTAGCATAAAGTATATTTAAAACAAGAATCAATCTAAAATGCGTATTATTATTAGTTAGAGTATTGAAGATTATATTTCAGTAACGAAGAAGAACCTTTTGACATAATGATTGTCCATGTCGAATGATATAAGGACAGCAAGAATGTGTTGGCAAAGGAAACATTTCCCATCGGGTCAAAGAGAATTTGAAACAGAAATATTTTTACAATTTTTTTATCTATATTATAGATAGTGCACAATGATAGTGATACCTACCTGGACGAGATCCGCCGATGATACCACTACTGGTTTATCTAGGTTAATAGTTATATATACAATGATAGGAAGTCATATTAACACTTCCGCGGGGTCAAGCGCCTAACATTTACCAACGTTGACATAATGTTGTGTACTCTATACAAACGGGTAGGTAGGTCTGGTCAAGCCTCTGGCAACACTGGCTGAATAATCTTACCTGGTTATTCGTTATATTCTTCCATCCATCCCACTTTATTTCTCATGTTACCTTTCACTTATTCATTTACTTTTGACATGCTCATATTAAAGATAGAGGTTATCGCTTAAGTAGAAGAGTCTGTAGATTCATTGATTTCAATCTCAGAAGGGTATACATGATCGACGTTGCTTATAAATGTCTTGTAATTTAACGACAGCACATCTGTGATATTTATGAATGTGAAATTGAAGATTTTGGCTAGGTTTTTGTTAGCAGTCCTGAAACGCTCATTTATATTTTCAGCTTCAAAGGTTTCACACCGTATAAAAAACACAAGAGTGTTCTGATACAGGTTAAACTAACAATAATACCATGTGTAACACAGTATACAATACACAAGAGTGTTCTGATACAGGTTACACTAACAATAATACAATGTGTAACACAGTATAAAATACACAGGAGTGTACTGATACAGGTTAAACTGACTATAATACAATGTTTAAAACAGTATAAAATACACAGGAGTGTTCTGATACAGGTTAAACTGACAATAAAACAATTTTTAACACAGTATAAAATACACAGGAGTGTTCTGATACAGGTACACGAACTATAATACCATGTGTAACACAGTATAAAATACACTAGAGTGTTCTGATACAGGTTACACTAACAATAATACAATGTGTAACACAGTATAAAATACACAGGAGTTTTCTGATACAGGTTACACGAATTATAATACCATGTGTAACACAGTATAAAATACACAAGAGTGTTCTGATACAGGTTAAACTGACTATAATACAATGTCTAACACAGTATAAAATACACAAGAGTGTTCTGATACAGGTTACACGAACTATAATACCATGTGTAACACAGTACAAAATACACAGGAGTGTTCTGATACAGGTTAAACTGACTATAATACAATGTTTAAAACAGTATAAAATACACAGGATTGTTCTGATACAGGTTACACTAACTATAATACCATGTGTAACACAGTATAAAATACACTAGAGTGTTCTGATACAGGTTACACTGACTATAATACAATGTCTAACACAGTATGAAATACACAGGATTGTTCTAATACAGGTTACTATAACTATAATGCAATGTGTAACACAGTATAAAATACACAAGAGTGTTCTGATACAGGTTACACGAACTATAATACAATGTGTAACCCAGTATAAAATACACAAGAGTGTTCTGATACAGGTTACACTAACTATAATACAATGTTTAACACAGTATAAAATACACAGGATTGTACTGATACAGGTTACACTAACTATAATACAACGTGCAACACAGTATAAAATACACAAGAGTGTTCTGATACAGGCTACACTAACAGTAATACCATGTGTAACACAGTATAAAATACACAGGAGTGTTCTGATACAGGTTACACTGACTATAATACAATGTTTAACACAGTATAAAATACACAGGAATATTCTGATACAAGTTACACTAACTATAATACAATGTTTAACACAGTATAAGATACACAGGAGTGTTCTGATACAGGTTACACGAACTATAATACAATGTGTAACACAGTATAAAATACACAGGAATATTCTGATACAAGTTACACTAACTATAATACAATGTTTAACACAGTATAAGATACACAGGAGTGTTCTGATACAGGTTACACTAACTATAATACAATGTCTAAAACAGTATAAAATACACAGGAGTGTTCTGGTACAGGTTACACGAACTATAATACCATGTGTAACACAGTATAAAATACACAGGAATGTTCTGATACAGGTTATACAAACTATAATACAATGTGTAACACAGTATAAAATACACAGGAGTGTACTGATACAGGTTAAACTGACTATAATACAATGTCTAACACAGTATAAAATACAC